TCCCCCCCCTTCTTACACGATCCCATATATCACACACAACTCTGCAGAATTGCAAGAGTATTTAAAATTTCTGGACTCGCACAAATGATACAGTTTGTATTAAGTGAGCGCTTACGGTAAATTATTATAGCCGTGTTATATCACTGTTGCGAATTACTTGTATCTCACTTGATTCCGACTCGACGTTTGGCGTGACACGCGGACTACATCATGTACTCTTTGTAATTGTTAACTTTCTTTTTTTTTTTAAATATTTATCACGTTCATCTTGTTTTTTTTTCTTTTTAGAGTTTAGATATTCTTTATTGGGAAGTTTTGAGAAAGCTCCTTCGCGCTTCGGAAAAGTTTTTAAAAGTTTAGTACACTTTGGAAGACCTGTAATGATTTTTTTGGTAACGCGCGCGAGAAAAATGTTACGTTTTCCTCGTTTCTCGACTCGATGCGACTCGATCAATCAATCGATCCGGTGTGTGTACTTTGTCTCTTAACGAAACATAATCTATGCGATAGGTCCCCCCTCATTTCTGTGACTCATGTCGAATATTTACGGATATTTAAGTTCGTATAGAAATTGTATTGTCAACTAAGCTTACTAAGAGAGACTTGTATATACGGAGCTATATACACACACACACAGACACACACATACATTATGTCCGCGAGAATAATTCTAATCAAAACGATCGTACCACCAGCTTTTATATAATTTCGTGCATGTGCATTTAGCGAAGAAACATTGAATATCAGAGTCGCATTGCTAAGTAAACACAACATTTGGTATGTCATAGCTATGTGTTTTATATATAAATATATCTATAAATATATAAATACAGAACGATGAAGAGCATTAAATTATAAGAAATAAAAATTATTATAATAGATAATATATATATATATATATATAAAATAATTGTCGAATTTTTGACATGGTGATTCTTTTCGTTTTAAGACGATCTTCCCCGCACGTTCATCAATAAGGAAAACATCCGCATAGCGTTTTTGAATCATTATCAGTGATTATCAGTGTTTATCAGCAAGATTAAATAAAAATTTCTTCGATCATTCACGTGACGGTGGTCGCTTTAATACGAAAAGAGTGCAATATGCATCATTAAATACTCGCTTAAATTAAACGTTTGGTTGTATATTTCAGATTGTTATTCTCGATACATTAGAACGCATTTGCGGCACAGTATCTTTCTCTAGCGAAAAAAAGTACTCGTTTCCTTTTAAATCTATAACATATATTATTGGCTCTATTGATTCCGTCTTCGCTTGTAGAACGGATTTGATACTCTCGCTTCATTCCTGTCATTGTCATCGTGCGAGACACGAAAATGTAATTGTATACGCGCCGATTTACTTTTACCCTCGAACTTCGTTAAGGTCAACGTGTAATTTTTTAATGTGCCTTTTTACAGCTTCGTTGAGAAATAAAAATGCGATCAAGTATCAAGCGTGATTGGTGCCAGCAGAAAAAAACCGTATAGCACGGACACTCGACCAGGATTCACGAGCGCAAACGAACTCGTGAATCGAAAAAGCGCGACTCAACAGCTGTGTCTCGCGAGATCTCCATTCTCCTTCCGATTCTTTTTGGCATTTATCGCGAACCGATCGTTTTAAGCCGTGGTTCAGATTAAGCGAATAAACACGAACGAATTTGCTTCAACCGCGGCGTTCGTTCGCGTTCGTTCGCACCCGCTCGACCTGCATCCCGCTCTTCGCGCGAGCGGTTCGCCAAGATATGCGACTACAATAGCGCGTGACAACTCGACGGACACAAAGTTGCGTTTGCGAAATTAGCCCGCGTTAAATATCGAACGTACGGGAGCACGTGTGGGCACGTGACGACGCAAACACAGAGCACACATCTACATATATTCTGGCATATCTATTTTCAACGGTATTGATTCCCGCGCGACGTGCGAAGCCCGGGGAGGACTTTAGAAAAAAAAAAAACTACGCCGCGCCGATAACTTTCGCTCCAGTTACGTCCACCGCGAATTATCGAATTATCGGGGATATATGCACCCGTAGAACGATTCTCGCGTGCGCGCGTTTTTCCGAATGAAAGATAGAATATCGACCGATTCGTACGAAAGGAAATGCGGGTAAACGTAAGTTACGGATCCATAAAAAAAAAAAGACTGACAAATGTAATCGTCCGAGGGGCGATAACGACGCCCCTTCGTATCTAACTTCCTGATTGTGTTAAAAAGGGCAAAATATTGATAGTCTCAAACGGACTGTTCCATAAGCCCTATGAGAATTCTCGTCAGAAAGGAGATCGGTCTTTGTTTTTAAAATAACGAAAATGCTCTATAGCATTTAACTGGATTCTTGTTGCCAACGCCAGCACAATGGAGTCGAAACAGCAACGTATGCAGAATTGTTGCAGTATATAATATTATTCTGCATTCAGCAGATATAAAGGCAGTGACAGCAATAAGCCAACACGCAGATGTCGATGCGCAAACGATATGCAAATATACAATAAGAGATAATCCGGTAATACCCTTTAGTCACTTTAAATATTTCGGCCCAGTGGCTTTTGATCTTCTGCAATGACATATATACACACACACACACACACACACACACACAAGAATCGGAAAATCAGAATTTTAATATCGCTATATATAAATTAAGTCAGGCAAAATACAAAATCATTCGCGATACATTCAGAGAGTTTACATTGTCGTTACATCAATAAAGATAAATTCAAAGTGAACACTGAACTTTATTACTATTTTAGTATCACTTTTTAGCACGTACGTTTCGGCTATTGTAAAAGGAATAGAAATTAATAGGCTAAAGTCCGCATTTTAGATCTCTTGAATTTCAGGATAGAATATAATTTCTAATTTATAATTTTATGTACCGTGTAATACGAAAAAAAACATGAATTCGAGTACAGTCTAAAATATATATTAAAATACATGTGGTGTAAGAAGAAAATAGAAACACGTTAGATTTTTATTCTAAAAGAATTACATAAATTATATAATACTTCGCCTAAAACGGGCTTGATTTGTATCATTCTTAATTCATATTTTTAGGATAACTAGCTTTTATTAAAGATACCTTTTTATGCTGACACTTGACTCATTTTTAGCGTCAAAATAGATCACATAATCAAAATTGACATTTGATATTCATCAATTTTAGGATGAAATAGTATCTTAAAAATCGATTGTGTTAAAATATTAATGATAATGATCAGTAATAATCATGGCATCGAGAATTTCGATGTATTTTTTGTCATCACTCATCTAATATGTGTGACAATATAATCCATGCGACAATATGTAATTATTTTTTATGTACTTTTAATATTTTCCACAATTGAATTTCCTGCACTTTAATCACTTCTTAAAACTAATTTCAGCCTTTATTAAAGTATTCTTCAATTAATAACGAAAAATAAACTCAAAGAAAGAGAAAATAATTTTATTGAAAAAGAATAAAGAATAAAAATATATTTGTTTATTATATTTATTTTGTCCGTATATAAATAATCACTAAATAATAAGTTAAATCCGAGAATGGCCGAAAAGAATAGCGTCTCTTACTTTTATTGGTATATTTCTATATACTTATGGTTAATAAACGATTGTATGTTCAATTTACACGTGTCCTATATATATTTCTGAAGAAAACGAAATTCGATTTTTAATTAAATCAAATTAAAGTTGTTATTCTACGTCAATTCGCGTGAAGAGAATCTTTATATAGAATATTTTCTCAAGATAATCATATACTTTCAAAATAATTCACGTATAATGTAATCTCTCGACGCTGTAATCCAATCTGTCATCCTAATGTCCGTAATAAGTTCACTGTCTTTTGATGAAGAGAGAGGTCAACGACCTGATTAAGTGTTTTCAGCTACGACTAGATAAGCCGTTGACAATAGTTGATGGACGTGTAAATCGACGTTGGATATGTTAGATAACTTTTTCATGATTTGAACGTGCACGCGGCTCGAAGCTTGAATAAAAATTTGACTTTCGACCAGCGTTTTTTTTTTTCGGATTTTGGACCGCACACGTCGTGCGTCGCGAGCATGATATTCTAGTCGTGGACACGAACAATATCGTTCCAACTAGGAAGCAAGAATGAGAAAGAGAGGGAGCGAATGCCATTATCTAATATACTTTTATTGTTACATTTGCGCGCTGCGCCATCAAAAGCACTCGCTCCCTCAATCCGACAGGCGATCCGTTATAGATCCGTTGCCTGTCCACCGGGAAATTTCTGTAGTCTTTCCATTAGTTTCCCGACCCTTCTCATATTCCATTGATCGCGAGGTTGCAGGTTCAAATTCCTAATTCCTTGAGTAACACAATATGTTGGTGTTTTTTATATATCTTTATATTTATATACTAATAATAAAACTCCCTGGCAAAAATTTTTCTTGAAATTCTTTATATAATTTTTCAGAATTTCTATATAAATTTCTGCATTTTTCAAAATTCCTGTATAATTTTATATCTTTATATATTTTTAGAAAATTGTTTATACAAATTGGAACACTTTTTAAAAATATCGAGAGAATCTTTTCTAGAATTCTTTACATATGTGAATTATTGAAATATTCTAAATTAAATTTATCATCCTATACTTTCTTACTTAAGAAGAAAATTTAAAAACTGAAAAAATTTATTTTTCAAAAACGTAAATTTCTAAATTTCAAGAAATTTTTTATTTAAAATATGAAAATTTTCTAAAATATCATCATGAGACATTGTGAGAATTATTTTTACTAGGGCGTTTAAGAAACATAAAACATATGTGAATCAACACATGCTATTCGGGTTGACACATCCCTCTGTGGACATGCATACCACTCCCTCGCATATGTCCTCGTAAATAAAGAGGAATACGAGAATAAGATAGGAAAACCTTGGTACACGCAAGCACTCGATCATTATTCCTGGAAAATTGAGACGCTAAATCGAATGTTGAGTAACTTCACTTTTCATTTTGTATTCGAATAATTGGGCTCGGTACGCGTAAATTTGTATTTATCTACAAACGACGCTGTTAGACGTAATTACGGCGCTATTAGGCGCAAATGATGCTAATTATAGTCATTTTATTGCGCAGTAAACGAAATTACTCTCGCTCTTTCTGGCTATCTTGCATTTATTTTCATAAATGATTCATCGCATGGGCGGCAGAAGCCCAAACGAGGCACAGATCTCTTCGATCGCAATCGCAATTAGTAGCAGCGCTCTTGATCAATTTACGATGCTTTCGCGAATAAAATTAAATATATGATACCATGTATATATATAAATTCTCTCTCTTCTTCAAAACACAAATTTCATATATATGATAATAATTGATTCGGGAGAATTCTTATAATATGCGGAGAAATCATATATTGCCTGCATACATGTATAATATGGAATGAATTAATTTCTTGAAGAATCAGAAAGAAGTAGATTTTGCTTCGAATATAAAATATGAATTAGAAAGAGAATCGTTCCTTTTTCTGCAATTCTTTTTTCCTTTTTATGCGATTTTTTTTAAAACGTCGCGTAATAAATATTCCATCGATAATTTTTATTACGTATAAAAATTAAAACGTAATAAATTAAAATTAAATAAATTAAAATTAAAACGTAATAAAAATTGTGTACTCATTTTTACATAAAAATAAATAAATCTTTCGCAAAATGGAAAATGAATTTATTATATTTAGCATCAAATATATGGAATATGAACGGGAACTAACGAAAGTCTCGATTCGTTTTTTTTCTGAGATTGACTCCTTTTTAAAATCCTTTGGGACGTAAATTTTATGTAATAATTTCTGAATAATCCTAATATATAATAAAAATTATATGTATATGAGTCTTTTTCGTATAATCGAAAACGAGAGCATTCAGCGCGCTAAAAAGGAGAGCGTATAGAAACGAAAGTCATGCCGTCACCGGTATTTTTTTCTTTATTTGAAGGATATTACATGGCACGGGCATAAAATCCAGACTGCTCCGATTTGTTCTTTGCAGTGAAAAACAATGCAATAATTATATATATATACATATTTCTAACTCAAATAAATTAAATTTTAAAATATAAATATAAGTACATACATATTTCTCTTGTATTTTTCGGGCTTCGGTGGCGCCATCTGTACGCGCGCCCGTCGCGTGGCGTTCGATAGCGCGTCTGGCGTAATTTGCGTGATTAGCGGTTAGGCAAGTATAATACGCTCTCGCATTCGCGGCGAGCGCAGTCAGTCTTGGGCAAGATGGCCGGTCGGTCGAATACGGCCCTCTATTACTATCTCGCGTTGATCCTCCATCTGATCCTGCTAACGGAGTGCAATTACGGTGTGCGGTACGGTGACAGGGCGAAGCGGCTGCACGTCGCGGAGCACAGCGATCCGCGGTACAGGAAACCGCTCATTATCGACAGGCGGAGCGCGGAGCCGCGCGACCAGGATGACAACGATGACGGGGAGACGTCGTTCGGGCGTACGCGCCGAGACGTACCGTCGCCGGAGCACCCAAACAATAACCCAAACATCAATGTCACGGTACGAATGTGCACACGTTAACGCAGCATCGCTCGATCGTCCGAAGGTCGTCGCCGTCGCCGTCGCCGTCGCCGTCGCCGTCGCTGCGTCGCAGTTCGACGTTCGACCGGCTGTGCGGTTGCGACAGCGGCGACGACGATGGACACGGTGATGATGAGGGCAGAGGGTGATGATGACGATGACGACGTGACTTTTTGCACGATTGTTTTTTTTTTTTTTTCGTCGCCCGTCGTTAACAAGAGCGAACAGAGGAAACGTCATACGACTTCCGACATTCGCGCAAATAGATGCGCCACACGGATCACGCACGACGCACGCAATGCACGCACACATACATTCATTCATACGTACACATACACACGCCCACCCTCCGCCCTCTGCCGGCTGCTGCGTGTCGTCCTGCGGAATTTTTTCCAATGGACCGTCCGTCACGGGCGTCGGGTCGGGAGAGGCGCACAGCGCGGGCCTTTGTGCGCGGCGCGCGAATAAGCCGGGGCAATAATTGCCGTATTATCTCTCTCTTCCGGAGTAAATTTAATCAATCTCGGACGAGAGACGGAGAAAGAGAGAAACGGAGCGTCGCGAGTCCGCTCCGCCGTCGACACGTCGTCGGGGTCACTAACCGTCCCGTATATCTTCCCTCCGTTTTCTATTTTTTTCTCGTCCTTTTTCCGGGAGAAAACTCGTTGCCGCGAGTTTTCCTCGCCGTCCGCCCGCCCGCCGCCAACCCGAGCCACGTAAACAAGACGACCCGCCGACGACCGCCCGCGCGGGATGTGCGTCGTTATTATTTTAGACTCGCGCCGTCATTGCTTTAACAGCGCGACATCCCTCTTTTTTTTTGAAGGTCGCGGTTTTCAGGCAATAATACTCGCCGCAAATTCTTTTTTTTCTGCGTAGTTATAGGTATATTGTACCTCCCTTACGTCACGTCGCGCGCTTAGTCACGTTCGAACACTTTGTGCACGTATGAATATAATGGACGCGTGCATGCACTTGACTACTTATTTTCGTGATAACAAAGGAAGCGCAGTTTGTCATTTGGTTGAAGAGATAAGAGCCACCTTAAAGAATTCGTACTACGTTTCAGCTACAAATTTAGCACAATCGTGTTATTCCGTTTCTTCGTTTCCTTTATTTTTTAAATTAAATGACGTCTACAATGAGACTTAAGACTTAAGATTTAAGAAAATTGACCAATCACAATCGATTATTCTTGTTACGTGGCTGAATAATCGACTATGATTGGTCAATTTTCTTAAATCTTAAGTCTTGAGTATCATTGTAGACGACGCTTTAGGTAAAATAATTAAAAAAGGCTCAAATAATTAAAAATTCAATACACAAGATAAAGCGTACGAGACAATCTTAAGATTAACTGCTTAATGTAACGTTTATAACGTTGTTCGATTATAAATATACTCAGAGTAGAAAAAAGTTGCGAAATAAATATTTAAAAAATTTATTGAGTATATAAATAAGGCGCACAAAAGAGATAATATTTTGTAGCCGGTCTTTGTTAGATATTAAGCGCGATGACAATTTTTATGGTCTTATCGAAAGATAAAAACTTAGCCTGTGAAGATATTCCTTCGGCATTGATATATGTATATATACATTATTAGTATATTACTGATTTTTCCTCAGAGGCGCATAATGTCACACAGTAAAGTGAAACTGCTTGACAGTGAGATCGATATAATTGTACATGAAAAAACAGTTTCGTAAATATGTCGTTTTGAATGTTACTTTAAAAGATTATTTTATCCTTTATTTTTATTACTTCGAATTTTTTTTGCGTTTACATCTTTACATTACATCCTCTCTCACATCCGATTTGTCTGATATAAGCATATTCTATCAATAATTAATTTTACTTTTATATAACATTAATTAGAATACCTATCCTGTTTCTGCAAGTTCATGCATATTACGTGCAATTTATTTGATCAGATATAACTTAATATAATTGTAGCTTTTCGTTCAACCTTCACGATATGCTTCACGTCGCGCCGCCTCTGCCTAGCTTAATTAATTGTATGAAAAAAAGAGGAACCGGGAGGAAGCAGGATGTTACTTTCACTTTTAACTTGACCTTTAACTCATATCCTGGGATTTTCCCTCCGTTCGATTTTAAAGCTAATTACGTAATTCTCTACCCATTTAATTTGCATTTCTAAATTACATGCGACAGTGTCTTAAATTATTCGTCTATAATTGCTCTTATGCATCTCGTGACATTGAACGTTGACCAAGGTAATGTGATATCAACCGTTGGACAGGATGAACTGATTGAGATAGAAGGATTTTCCACGAATATTCAATGATTCATCTCCTGCCATATATAATCCACCACCACTACAATTACGATTATTGAAGCTGTCGCGTTACACGCACGTGTGCATTTTGTGGTCACCTACCAATAAATCTATGCTTACACTCGACTGCGGCAATTGTCACGCGTATTTGTCTTATATTTTTTTATTTTATTTCATCGGAACTCCTTATCTGCTATCTCTTATCTCCGATTTGCTGGTTTGTGCGATAACTGGATAAATATTTTATTTCTACGTTATATAAGTTTATCTATAACCGACGCCTTCCAGCAAAAGAACCTTTCTTTCTCTGTCGTTACAGGTCTTCGCTTTACATGATTCGCATCAGCAATTGATGGTACATTGGGTCGGGGAGGGCTCCAATGTAATAATATGTCTAGCGAGGGATAGCACGCCCGTGGTACGCTTCCAAGGAGGCAAATTCTCTTCCCCGACCCAACCTAGCGCTGTGTACATCAGTTACAACTACGGTGAAACTTTCGTCAATAAGACTGATCTGTTTAGGGTTTCGTCCGACCCCGATGCTCAATATGCGGTTGTAGACAAATTCACCAATCATCCTAAGTACTACCAACACGTGAGTGTCGCTTTACAAAAACGTTTCTTACGAAATAAGTGGTCCGTATATCTCCTGGCGCGCATCTCCGATTCTACTGTTCGAAGAGCGTTCTCGTGACTTCCCTTTCTTTTGCAGTGCGTCTTCGTGGACAGTCTGAATAGTTTAATCTTTATAACGCATGACAACGGTGGAAATATCACGAGGGTCACGGTGCCATTTCACCCGAGTGAGGTCTCGTTTTACGAATTAGATCCACGGATACTTGTCGCACTGGACAAGATCGATCCAATGCAGAAGGTATAAGACTTGTTATTATATTTAACAATTGAAATTTTGAATTTACACGCTACCATTGTTGTTATCTTATTTTGAAGAATATAAAAGTAGTCCTACAAGAATTCTTTTTTCTGACTTTGAAATACCTCGATTTCCAGTTGTGGTTGTCGACCGACCGCGGATTGGTCTGGGTACCGATAGCACAATCCGTAAAGGCTTTCTTCTGGTCTCCGTATCGTGTTCTATTGGTTGAACGCACGGAGCCTACTCTACTGAATACAGTCTTGAAACTGGATCTGCGAAATTTGCCCTGGTATCAGAGAGGAAACAATTCATTACGTGCAAGAATGTCTCTACGAAAGGAATTCACCGTCGTCATTGAGAACATTGAGGATTTCCAGATGAGGGGCGATTACATGTTTGCCACCAGGAAAAGGGTAAGAATAAGGATCACGGAATATTATATATGGAATCTCTTGTATGATTCAGGATTTAATTTCATTGATTGTTTTAATCCTTTCAACAGAATGGAACGGAACATCTGGATCTCTTCGTCTCTTACAAGAATCAGTCGTTTGTCCAAGCGCATTTTAACACGGAATTGGACTGCAAGGATTATCACATTGTAGACGTATCGTACAATCGGGTCTTCATCGCTGTGTCGCATAGCGACACTATGATCAATCTTTACGTGTCGGAAGTTATAGATCCTGAGAAAGCTATATTTACACTGTCTCTGGAGAGTATACTCACGTTTTTCCCCAACAGCACGTGGAAAGACAGCTGGCTGAAGTGAGTAACGAAATATAACGGATAATTATTTTATATGAAAATAAAATTAGAGGTGTTCTGCGGACTTATAATTATTATAAAAGCTGTGAAACTTGCGAAAATAAGGTTACAAGTTTTAAGAACTCTCCGTTAATTTTCCCTTTAAGTTTGTTGATATTTTCTTAATTTATCTATTTTTGTTCTATTTACACAGTGACGTGGCAGACGAGGCATTCACGGATTTGTATAAAGTCGAAGGTCTTCGTGGTATATACATAGCATCGCGGGTAAAAGGTACTCCAAAATCAAGCTCGATCGGACCGGAACACTTGGAATCATTAATCACTTTCGATCACGGCGTCACTTGGAACAGTATTAAGCCACCGACCGCGAATCACGAAGGCTTCTACATTCACTGCGGAAAAAATTGCTCGTTACATCTGAGTCAGAGATTTAGTCAACTGTATCCGGTGACGAGATCCGTTTCCATTATGAGCTCGAAATCGGCGCCCGGAATAATAATGGCCACTGGCGTAATTGGAGCTAACTTGAAGGGTCATCCCGCACTCTACGTATCTAGAGATGCTGGTCTCACGTGGAAACAAGTGCTAAAGGATTATTACTTCTTCAACATGGGCGATCACGGAGGTTTGTTGGTCGCAGTTAAGTATTTCAAGTCACGCGGGGAAACCAGAGATATCTCATTTTCGACGAACGAGGGCGAGACGTGGCAGACGTACGAGTTCAACGAGAAGGAGTTACGTGTCTACGGCCTTATGACGGAGCCTGGAGAAAACACCACGATATTCACCATGTTCGGATCGGATAGTGGGCAGCATCAGTGGCTTATTATCAAGGTCGATTTACTAAAGGTGTTTGAGAGGAATTGCACGGAAGATGATTACAAGTTTTGGTCACCGACGAGCACCGATCAACCGGTCATGGCGTGCGTTTTGGGACGCAAGGAAACGTATCAGAGACGCGCGGCGCGTTTCAATTGCTACCAGGGCGTGAACTACGATCGACCGGTGAGATTGGAGATCTGTCAGTGCGACGCAAATGATTATCAGTGCGCTTACGGTTTCATGCGCGTCGGCAATCCGTATCACTGCATCCGCAACAAATCCATCGCCAATTACGATCCTTACGCCGTACCGAACACGTGTCAGTCCGGTTCGTTTTATAATCGCACGAAGGGCTACGTGAAGATATCCGATGACGATTGTACCGGTGGCCTCGCGAGGAACTATGAGCCCGATGAGATTCCATGTCCGATGAACGAAACGCCAGAATTTCTATTGGTCGCCCAACGAGAACACATTACACGAATCGAGTTGGTGGAGAACAAAATGGAAACGTTACCTGTACACGATCTAAAGAATGTTATTGCAATTGAATTCGATTTGCAAAACAATTGCTTATACTGGGCGGATATTGTAAACGACACGATCGGTAGACAGTGTCTGAAGGACGGCACTAGCTATCCCGAGATTCTCGTCGAGACCGATTTGAGTTCCATCGAAGGAATGGCCTTTGACTGGGTGTCCAAGGTATTATATTTTGTGGACGGTGTTAAGATGAGGATACAGATCATCCGAACGGATGTATCTGCTACAAACAAAATGCGTAGGACGATATTGGGGCCAAACAATCTGCAGAAGCCACGAGGTATCGCAGTTCACCCTATGAACGGCTACATGTTCTGGACCGACTGGGCGCCAGGCAATGCCTCAGTTTCGCGAGCCAACTTGGACGGCACGGATGTTAAACGACTGTTTATCAAGCCCACAGTCGAATGGCCGAATGGAATAACGATCGATCACATTGCCGAACGTATCTACTGGGTGGACGCTCGAGCGGACTACATAGCTTCCTCGGACTTCGAGGGTAAAAGATTTAAGAAGATTATCGCTAACGATGCGCGTGTCTCGCATCCGTTCGCGGTCGCTGTGTTTAAGGATAACGTCTACTGGGACGACTGGAAGCAGTCGATGATATTTGTCGCTAACAAAGATCACGGAGTCGGCATCAACATGGTTGTCGGCTTCCAGATCGCGGGTCTGATGGATCTGAAAATCTTCGCGCACAGCGTGCAGATCGGTACGAATGAGTGCGCGACAACCAACAACACGTGCTCACACATCTGTCTAGGTGCGCCGCATAACAGCCACGTTTGCCTATGCCCGGACGGCATGGTGATGACGGAAGGCAAGTGTTTGTGCCCGAACGGGCAAAAGCCGCACGCCAACTCGACGTGCCCGCGCGTCGCCAGCACCTGCTCGGTCAACCAGTTCATCTGCCAAAACAACGTGTGCATCCCCGAGTTCTGGAAGTGCGACGGTGACAACGACTGCGGCGACAACTCGGACGAGCTTCACTGCAACCGCGCCACGTGCAGCCCGAATAATTTCGAATGCGATGAGAACAAATGCATACCTAAATACTGGGTGTGTGATCTGGATCGTGATTGCAGGGACGGCAAGGACGAGATGAATTGTACGTACAGCAATTGCACTGAAACGCAGTTTAAGTGTGACAACGGTCGCTGTATATCGTATCGTTGGCATTGCGACGGTGAGGACGACTGCCGGGATGGCTCGGACGAACGGAACTGCACCAAGAACGTTCAGCCAAACACGTGTCGGTCTGATGAGATTGTCTGCAAGTCGGATCACTCATGCATACCGACATCGTGGAAATGCGATGGCGAACCAGACTGTGAGGATGGCGCTGACGAGAAGGACTGCAATAATATGGTATGCGAATCGTGGCAGTTTACATGCAACAACACCAAGGAGAATGGGCATCGGTGTATATACAAATCATGGGCGTGCGACGGTGACAAGGACTGCGCCGATGGTTCCGACGAGATGAATTGTACCACCACTACCATGCTACCACCGCCGCTAAGTCCGATCCTGCCGACAAATTCCTGCAATGACTGGATGTTCATGTGCAACAACAAGAAATGCGTGCCCTACTGGTGGAAGTGCGACAGCGTGGACGACTGCGGCGACGATTCCGACGAGATAGGCTGCGGGGGCAATGGGGACGTGGTGGAACCCACATCTCCGGTTCACACGACGCAACAATCGCGTATCTGTCGGGAGCACCAGTTCCAGTGTTACAACGGCGGTTGCATTGAAAACGCGTGGGTGTGCGACGGCTCGCAGGACTGCCCGTCCGGCGAGGACGAGCAACACTGCGATCAGACACACCTGTCGTGCCAAGAAAATCAATTTATGTGCCGCCAAGACGGTTCCTGCGTACCGCTGTCGAGTATTTGCAACGGCATCGAGGAATGTCCGGACGGCAGCGACGAGCTCGGTTGCCACACAGACCACGAGGTAAATCCACCCGCCACACCGTCCTGCTACGTCGGTCTTTTCCCATGCGACGAGACCCGCTGCTTCCCGCTGGCGGCTTACTGCGACGGCAATCACGATTGTTTAGACGGCTTCGATGAGAGCAATTGCGAGAAGAATGGCTCGCGCGTGTATCAGGTGCTAGTGATGGGCGTGGACGAACGTTCTGTCAACGATTCCAGTCTCTTCCTCTTCTGGTGGATGCCGATACCGTCGAACGTGACGTTCGAGTTCCTGCCGTCAATCGCGAAGGTGTCACCGGGGGGGTCTAAATGGACCAACGCTAGCGAATGGATCGAAGACACGGAGTACCAATTCAACAATCTCGATCCGTACACCAAGTACAATCTGACAGTCTATGTGAAGGTGAAAGGCCAGGCAACCGTATTCCCACCGGCAAAGTATCTTGTGGTGATGACGGGCGAGGGCGTGCCATCCCCGCCGTGGAATGTGACTGTCACGCAGAAGAATGGCACTCGCGTGGAGGTTTCTTGGATACCACCCAAATCTCCTCGCGGTCTTATTATTGGATATCAAGGCTACATCACGCCGCCGATACCGCCGATGGAGTTTAATCGGCAAAAAACCTCTGCAATTATCGACATGGCGTTTGAGGCGAACACAACTTATTCCTTCTGGATCGTGGCGAAGAACCGGCAGTATCAATCAGCCTCGTCACAAGTTGCCACGTTGTTGTTCGACGGCTCGGCCAACATTGACGATATTGAGGATCTCCGTGTGGTGGCCACGACGAATCACTCTGTCACTTTGTCATGGAAGAAAATGAAGGACGTGGACGGGTATCACATCACTCCCAGAGCACCGCCAGCCTATCCAGCCTTGCAAACCGTCTCGACAATGGAAAATATTAAGGAAGTTACAAAATTGGCGCCGGGCACCAAGTACACCTTCGAGGTCGGCGCGATGAAGAAGAAATACATCGGTAAGATCGCTATGGTGACAGCCACGACGAACGGTACCGCGCTGCCGACGATAATAAACTTCGATGCGCAATTGGTGAAGTCCCAGAGAACGACCGTGAAGCTTACTTGGGATCCTCCGAAGAGCAACAGGAAGATCAAGTGGCAATACGCTATTCACTACGCTACCAACATGTTGGACTTCTTTAAAAGTAAGGAGTCATTTTCTTTGTACAAGCATTATTTCGATATCTTGGATGGGATGAGCGATAGCTTTTTATTGCTGTTTAATATTGTTTTGTTTCCCATATTTTTCCTCTGAAGGAATATATCTTTGTTTCTGTTTTTTTTAGTGTACAAAAACATCACCACTAATCTTACGGCTACGATCAAGGATCTGGAAGCGTGTGAATCGTATGTCTTTGCCGTTGGTGTTTTTGGGGACTACGGAGCAGGACCTTTGAATCAACCAATTACGGTCACGACGCACTTCAATACACGTGCACCTCCGAAGAGATTACGAGTAACGCCGTCGCCGGATAAAAATGACAGCATAATCGTCTCGTGGAGCGCAAGTTGCCCGACGATCGACGAACCGATCAGTTACACGGTGAGTTAATAATATTTCTTCGGGGAAATAATATTGCGAGAGATTTTGAGAAAGTCGAAATTTATATTTATGTGAGAAGTTTTCTCTCAAAATTCCACTATTTTTATTGAGAAAAATTTCAAAGTACATGCATTTTTCGTTTAGCGAGAATATTTCATCGATCTCATCTTTTGTCCGATTTACAGATTTCCGTTACGGAAATGATTCTCAACAAGCAGATGGTTGTGACATTGCCAGCGACTAACGAAACTATTATGAAGCATACGTTCCATTCCATGAAGTACGGCGGGAAGTACAGTGTTACAATAGCGACTGATGTCGAAAATGCTATACCCACGCAACCGTTCATCTATGTAGCGCCGCCGATCAAGCCGCCTCATCAGCTCACCGTCTTACACGATAATAAGGGATATTTGATTTATTGGCAAGAACCGGATTTGCCGGAGAACATCCGGATGGATGCCGATCGGTACTATGAAATTTTGGTGGCCGAGGGATCGAGAACAATAAATGAATCGACCGCCAAGGTATTGATGGTCAAAGATCCGCCGCCGTATCGCTACAAGGATGCTAAAACGGATACGATTTACACCTTCGCCGCGCGTCTGGTCACGAACGAAGGATACCAAAGTCCTCTGAGCGAAACTTGGAGCACGCAGATTTCAGGTGAGATGCCTGTAATATTTAATGTCTTTTCGAAATGAGTCGTGCTTTAATAATAATAATAATAATAATATAATGATAATAATCTCTTTTTTTGTCTCTTTACAGCAGGATTGGAACTCCCAGTGATAATGAATACATCGAGCATATTGTCCCTCGCTATACCAATCTGTTTGGTTGTCGTAGCGCTCGGTGCTGCGCTCGCGTATTTCATCGTTCGACACAGGAGGCTATCTAACAGTTTTACGCAATTCGCCAATAGCCACTATGATACGAGACGGGGACAAGCTACTTTCCCTGGCACGACAGATGGTTTAGGTGAGTTCTATTTTACAATAGAGAAGTGGAGAGAAAAAGGGGGATAAGAATGATGCAAGATGAAAAGAAACTAACGATCGTTTCTCCTCCTTTTGTTTTACAGAAGAAGAAGACAGTCCGGTAATTCGAGGCTTTTCAGATGACGAACCACTCGTAATTGCATGAATACCATATATGTATGTATAAACGGGATATTTACGTATTAGGAAAGAAGATGTGCCAAGACACTATTAATATGATAATTTTGAATATAAGTCAAGCTTTACGAAGGAAAAGCTTTTATGAAAGCGTCTCAAGACTGAATACTGAATTATAGCCGTACTTGTTACAATCAACGACTATTGATCAGTAATTCAAGCTGCTTAGAGCGCTTATATGAGAGCTTTTCGCACCATTTGTTCGGTACGTTGTAGAAATATGGTACACATGTACATCATGAGTGATCGGAGTAACTGACGTGTAGCTGACAGGCCGTTGCATCTCAAATTTGACCATAAAACAAATCAAGACGACTGTAGATTGGAAGTCTAGTTTACCGTCTAGCGAAAGGATAAACGCCAATCGACGAAACGGCAACTTGTATATATAATAGTAAATATTTTTTATGGATTGATTGTGAGACTTTCGAGGTGACAAGCATTTGCATTTTTAATAATGTATTTATATGACATGTATGTGTGAAGAAACTTTTTTTTAGTCCGTATTCAGATTTGTTGATGTGAAAGTGAGTTACCGACACACGGGACGAACTTTTTATTAAAAGCCGTTTTAATAAACACCCACAGAGGCCATAAGTTTTTTTCCAATATATAGCAAGTGCATGACCAAAGTAACGCTATCTTCTAATGCCGCATTCAAGAGAAGTACATCAGTCTCGTCTGTTTATGGAGTAGGTTTCTACGACGTTTCATTCATGAGTTTAATGATCCGTCTTGAGTAACTTTATATGCTCGTCCCGCATAATAGAATTCATAATAAAATTTTATATCAAACGCGATGCGGCATTGAAAGAAGTTTTTATAAGCGAGTCTCAATTTCGCGAAAGGGTGACTTGACTCTTGTAAAAAGTGTGCTACAATTATTGCGATTTGAACACAATGCTAAGTACGGATTTTTTATCTTTAGGGTCACACAAAAGAGGATATTCGACAAATAATGTGCGCTTTATACGGTTAAAATAGATTACATTTTTTTATCTTATATTAAAAAAATAATACATTATTCTCTTTACCAAGACCGAACGCTCTTAGTTAAGATTAGGAGAGGTTTATCAACAAGACACCCCGATATGAGAAAGCGACAGATCGGTGACGTTCTCAGTGCGAATAACATGGTAACGACATCGTCGTGACTTTTAGATTATTGTAAATAATATTTAAATATATTTAAGCGCGTGACTTTCACCGCTTAATTCATGTTGATTCATCCGTAAAAGACGTTAATGATTGAATCCTAAGATCCTTTATATTTTTGTGTCGAATTAATTTAAAATTCTATGCATACGAACGGTTTTCTTGCCGCGGCGAGAAGAAATTATCGATTTGACAGAATCTTTTGGTGTATATGACATTATATATGTATATATACACATATATATGTACACACAGGCGATTATTTTACTGCAAAGAGTGACTGCAGAGATAATATCGATTATATTCTCTTAATTAAACCTGGTGAAAATTTTTTGAAATTCTTTGTAGTTTTTAAGAATTTTTATAAATTTTTCAGAATTTCTGTATGTAATTTTATAATGATTTAGAAAATTTTTTAGATTCTTTTATACAAATTGGAACACTTTAGTGCTGAGAAAAATTTCATCTTTTCTAGAATTCTATATATATATGGATTTTGAAGAAATTTAAGATATTTTCTCAGATATTTTCGTAAATTTTAAATATGAAAATTTCTGAAAAAATATGATGTATTATGAAAATTTTTTCATCAGGTAATTGTCTTTTTTCTCTTCTGTTCTCAAATGAAAAAGAAATATATGATACCCTACAATATTTGTGAGTCAAGTTCAATCATTTTGTTTGACTTGAGGAACGTTAAGCAGATTAAATTACCAGATTTTCAAGAATCAAGACATTTTTACGTCCTGTATCATTACAAAATTGATTGTGAATTAATCTAACAAGTCGTAATAACAAGATTGCAATTCGCATTAATATCCTGTTGCACAGGATTCTGATATTTTTAAAAATCTCGTTCTTTTGGATGACAGAAAAGGAAGTGATCAAATTATACGCACGAAACGACGGCGGATCGACGAAAAGACAACGTTTACAGTATTAATGAGGCTTGGCTCGTTTCCTTTGTGTCGTAACTGACGCCTGGAGATGATGACCTCCCGAGTGAACTGAATTAATTGTAAAGAAAAGATTCGCCTGTTGATCATTTCACGCGGTTACGCGCTCGGCCCACCAACGGTTTACTTCTTTCTTTTTCGCTACATGTCGTTACATGTTGGAGGAGAAAATATTAATAAAAATGTCGATGTTTTTAAATCTGTGTTACGCGGCTCCTATACGTAATCAATATTGTTGATACGATTTTATTGTATTAATAATAATATGACATTGATAATTAAATGATGGATATTATTATGTAATATGGCAATATTATGCGCAATATGATATTGATCATGAATAGATCGTTTTAGTGAGAGCGACGAGAATAGAAGAGAATAGCTGATTTACATGTATTGTAAATGTCAAAAGTTATAACGCGACAAGAGACAGTGATATATAATATATATACATATATATATAATATATTTACGTGTAAATAAATAAATTTAAGATACAGAATATTGTCATTTAACTCTTCTCGTTTCTTTGTGAATTTATTCCGATACCTCTGCCTTTTTGATAAACTTATAGTAATATGCATTATGTAATCTATTTATTTTATTTGCTGATAATTTTTATCGCTAAAATTCGATATAATTTTTAACTTTGCTATTTTTTTTTTTTTTTTATCAACATGTAAATATTTTAGGCTAGTGGGAATCAGCGCGTTATTGCGCAGTATTAAAAAAAAAAGAAAAATTGATATCAACAGGGCCCATGATGCATCATGAACTTGCATACTACTTGCATCATGAACAGGGCCGAAACATTTAAAATGTATATGGTTGACTAATATCAATTTTTCATTTTTTTTTTTTTAAGAAACACTGCAATAATTACCGCGCTGATTTCCACTAGCTTAAAATATTTTAAATGATAAATTCTGAGAATCCTTTGAATTAATTGCTTATTTTTCTATTTAATTAAATATTTAATTTATTTTACTTTATTGCCTGAAAAATTTTTTTTTACTTTTAATTATTAAAACTATTGATATCTCAATATTTTGACTATGAAAAAATCCACTTTAATTTTGTTAAAAAATTACAAATTTTGGTGATCTAATTTAATTAAATATTTAATTAAAAAATTTATTTTGTTATTTTATTGCCTGAAAAATTTTTTTTTTACTTTCAATCATTAAAACTATTGATATCTCAATATTTTAACTATGAAAAAATCCACTTTAATTTCGTTAAAAAATTACAAATTTTGGTGATCTAATTTAATGTGTATTCTTTATTATAAGAGATACTGTACATATTTAAAAAACGGTAGTACATTCATCATCCTGCCAAACTCGCGAAATCTGTCATAATGTAGCGGATGTTCCGGGCCATGTCTGAATCATCGAAAAGTGGAACAGCAAAAAATAATAGTTTCGTTTATTCACGACAAGCTCATCTCCAGGGGAGGTGAAAGACTTCCGTTACCATTCTAAAAGGCAATTTGGAAGTTTGTGACCCGTTACCTCATTAAGCAAACGGCACGAAACCGGAAATTCAACACCTTTTCGTACTTTAATTCTCGTATTGTTACGCAAATTGCGGTCAAATTCCGCGGCCGCATCTTCAACGCCTGATTACGTTCATCAACGATTATTATAGTGTTATTATCGGGTGAATTATGTATGTGTAATTACATGTATATGTTATGTGTATAAAAATTATTTATATATATTTATGTTTTATACATGTATGTTATGTGTATAAAAATTATTTATATATATTTTATTATTTAAAATTATATGTGTAAGAATATATTTTGAGGAAATTGTCTAACAATTATGTAAGGAATTTTTAAGAATCTTGAAGCTTTTAAGTATATCTTTAAAAAAGCTTTAAGATTTTTAAAGAATTTTTTACGTACTTGTTAACACATAAGCAGAATTAGTAAATGAGAAATTGTATTTTGTTAAAAATCTTTAGATCTTGAAAGCCTCTGACTGAATATCTTAACGTGCTGGTTTCTTTGCGGGAGATGTGCCCCAATTAAGAATGCTTTTTCTAAATCACGCGCGCACGGTATTTTTGTAATAAACTTCGGCCACTTCACTCGCAATGGAGTAAAAGGAAATTTAAAGACCATCATTCCGGCGTTACGAAATACCGCAAGACCGTTTACCTTCCGCTCAACTGTATTCACTTTTATTACTATCTTCCATTCCGGTCCCTACGCTTCGTATCCTCCTCATTATTTCATACACATTACATTTCATCGTTGACTGGCACTGGCATGGGCTATTTCGAGACATTTAACAGACAGTATGCCACTATCATAAAGTTATTATAAGGTGATTTATGATATAGATGATAGGTGATTTTATTGGAACGGTTCATTCTTCAGCTTTAAAAATTACCTCGGAAGAAATCGTATGTAGTTTCCCTCGCGCTTTTTGCCAACATCACAATATCTTCACATAATCTTCCAAGTGCTATAAATTTCCAAGTTTATTTTAATTTTTTTTTTTGTAATTTTAGTTCTATTTTCAAGTGTGAAAAACTAATCGTATTTATGTATTTTTCCAAGTATTGTTGTAGTGATAAATATGCGCGTGTGATGACATTCTAGAGATATTTCTAAAAAATGGCAAGATTCAAAGCATTTTTTATTTAATTAATAAATTTATTTTACTTTATATTTAACACATTTTATTAAATAAACATTTGTTTATTTAATAAATGAAATTTATATATTTATCACGAAATCACCTAATTACAGAAATTGCCTTTATTGTTACGAAGTAGACTCGTAGATATCCTTTTGCGGCTAAACGCGTTTTCTTTTTTGTTATTTACAAGACTCGTAAATTTTATACTAATCTACTTAATCGGCCGTAAAATTCGCGCAGGAAGGATGTCGCGTCGTTACGTTTTACGCTAAACGACGCGGCGCGTTATAACGCGTAAACTCGGGGCAACCGAGCGCGCGTGTACCGTAATCATAATTGTTACTCTAATTATACATGCGGCCGGTATGCGTACGCGCGCTCCTCTCCTAATCAGATCGTTTGAAGACTAAATCGCCTCGCGTTACGGAGCGCGACGGGCGCTGCCGCGGTCTTCTCGTTGCGCCGCTCGGATAAGCGTTTTATATCAAATGGATTGTTTAACGTGCAATCCCTCGGTTAATTATATCTATTTTCGCCATTTGCGCGGAGAGCGCAAGTAATATAGAGCCATTACGCGGCGCACGTTCGATGCCGTTCGCGAATATCTCACGAAAAAAGATGGAAAAGAGAACGCTTTCTCGTTACATTTAAAAGATTTTTTTTAGCTGCAGAATATTATATTTAATTATTTATAGTGATATAAACGTCATTCTTGACGTATCTGGAGCAGCTTCGCATATACCTGTCTAGGGTAATATCTTTCAATAGCCGCATGACTTTTCAGAAACCGTTGCTCCGTAAAATTTATTAAGCCTACGTCATAAACCAAGTGTAACAGTTTTGAATTAACATCTATACAAAGCTACCCTCAATACTACACTTTTTAAATCGTGCGTGACATAAATAAATCAATCTTGTGCAGTTTCTAAAATCACAAACGATATTAGCCTATATAAATTTTACGTCGCAAAATACAACAAGAAATACAGCCAGAACATCAAGCGATCTTTTATTCTAAACGTTTGACAATTGAAGCAATGATCACTGATCAGATATTATTCGCTGCAGAAACGCCAAAAATCTATAAAACATTTTAAGAATTTATTATTGTTTGTTAGACTCCAACGGGATAATAAAAATAATTGTAGCATTAATAAAACAATTTTTATTTACGGTCCTGTTATGTTCCTCACAATCAGGGTCTACACGTATGCAGTGTGTGTAGAGGGAAAATGTAATTAGCTATTACGTACGACGATCAAATGGCAAATACGCTACTTGCTGAAAAGCGCGGACCTACTTTGAATACGCTTATACATTCAGGCCATCAATCGCTTTTCATTCCCATAACCTTAATATTTATTATAGAAGAGCAATATAATGCTAATGGATAACTAGAGTTAGAACGGAGGACCGGCTTTCACCGTGTCGTGGAATTTTATTAGAATATAGATAAAGAATGAAATACCCATGTAGGAAATACGCAGGCGACATATAATTAAAATCATAATTTA